CAAACTTTACAGCAGGTTTGAAACACTCATAAAATATTCAGGTGAACGTCAACTTCAGCGCAAGGGAGATAACTTCTGGCCCTTTGTAGATTACCAAGTTCAGCTGATTGAGCGCACAGCCACGCGTTGGATCTGCACCTCTGGCGCTGACATATTTCATAATCAATAAATTCGGTTAAAGGCTGAAATAACTCGTGACTAATCAAAATGATCAGGGAGACAGAAATCAACAGCGCGAAGCCGATATTTTGGCAGAACAATTCCAAATTACTAGCTCGAAAAGTAAGGAGAATTTCTTTTCCGGATCTGTTGAAATTGACTTCGTGATGGGGTTTATTATCGAGGTCTTGGACATACACACATGTTGTTCCAGTTCCAAAGTCAAGAAATTAGCGTTGCCAAGCAGCGTCCTACAAACAAATGACTATATATTAATGCGAATTTATGCAACGAGATGGTTACTAACAGGCTGTGACCCGCGAAGAACCAGGTGAGAATTGATGTTCAACAACAAATGCTAGTCGTGAGAGGCGACTAACGGGATCGGGTGATCAGGCTCGCTGACTTGGTTGACACATGTCATCTTATTGCTACTACTACTGCTACTACTACCACTACTACTACTACTACTACTACTACTACTACTACTACTACTACTACTACCACCACTACCACTACCACTACCACTACTACTACCACTACTACTACTACTACTACTACTACTACTACTACTACTACTACTACTACTACTACTACTACTACTACTACTACTACTACTACCACTACCACTACTACTACTACTACCACTACTACTACTACTACTACTACTACTACTACCACTACTACTACTACTACTACTACTACTACTACTACTACCACTACTACTACTACTACTACTACCACTACCACTACTACTACCACTACTACTACTACCACTACTACTACTACTACTACTACTACCACTACTACTACCACTACCACTACTGCTGCTGCCATTGCTACTGCTACTGCGGGGCGGTGGGGTAGCCTAGTGGTTAAAGCGTCCGCTCGTCACGCCGAAGACCCGAGTTCGAATCCCCACATGGGTACAATGTGTGAAGCCCATTTCTGGTGTCCCCCGCCGTGATGTTGCTGGAATATTGCTAAAAGCGGCGTAAAACCAAACTCAGTCAGTATTGCTACTGCTACGACTACTACTACTACCACTACCACTACCGCTACTGCTATTGCTACTGCTGCTACTGTTACTACTACCACTGCTGCTGCTATTGCTACTGCTACTACTACTACTGCTGCTGCTGCTACTACTACTAGTACTACTACTACTACTACTACTAATACTACTACTACTACTACTACTACCACTACTACTGCTACTACTACCACTACTACTGCTGAGTGATCTGTGAACTGTGAATTGGTCAGTACAGCTACCTTTATACATCAAATAAAATATACAAATTCAGAAATGGTTTAAATGCGTTTCATGACTACATTATTCTTTCTCTTTTTACTAACAGAGATGGGCGGTGGGGTAGCCTAGTGGTTAAAGCGTTCGCTCGTCGCGTCGAAGACCCGGGTTGCATTCCCCACATGGGTACTATGTGTGAAGCCCATTTCTGGTGTCCCCGCCGTGATATTGCTGGAATATTGCTAAAAGCGGCGTAAAGCAAAACTCACTCACTCACTGCTAACAGAGCTATTTGATCTCTGTGGTATCAATGTAGACAAAACGTGGTATTTTCATGACGCTTCGCTCAATATTTATCGGCGGGAAATCTATTTCAATTTGGCATAAAAAGATACTGTGTAAAAGACGATGTGTGATTTGACTGTCTCTTAGCAAACACGAAAAGTGAAATTATACCTTAAGAGTTAAGAATCCTTGAAAATCGAAGAATAATGCCATTGTTTCTCTCTGACAGACAACTATGGTTGGATATCGCTTGGAAATATTTACACCTGTGCAGGAAAGTAGAAATTTACTTCCACTAAACTTACCAGATTCTCACAATATCATTTTACACGTATTCTAAAGTTTGTGTTATATAGCATGCATGTAACCTTATTTAGAAATCTAAAATTAATGTTTCTCCATTTCTTTAATATATATAATAGTGAGTGAGTGAGTTTAGTTTTACGCCGCACTCAGCAATATTCCAGGTATATATCTGTAAATAATCGAGTCTGAGCAAGACAATCCAGTGATCAACAGCATGAGCATCGATCTGCGCAAATAGGAACCGATGACATGTGTCCACCAAGTCAGCGAACCTGATCACCCGATCCCGTTAGTCGCCTCTCACGCCAAGCATGGGTAACTGAAGATCAATAGCTAACATTCACCGTTCCACTGCACACAACAGATCCTCGTGGTAAAGACAACACCATCTATTCACGGGAATAGTAGCCGTAAACACACCAAAATAGTTTTGAAAAACATGACCGGTGTATTCTGCCTCGTAGGATACATGGGTCAATATAGTTTTCTTTTAGATTTTCTTTTTTTATTGGATTTGTTCTTTTGTTGTTGTTTGATTTGTGTGGTTTGTTTGTTTGTTTGTTTGTTTGTGTTTTTATTTGATACAGCAATGTAATCCGGTTAGCTATCATACGTTCGATAGCGTGTATATAGTAGAAATAGACACGACAAGCCTGCATGTACATTTCAGGTCATACCCCTCGCACGGGTCACGTGCAGACCGACACGTCATCACAACATTCCGGCACGTAGCGCAGTCAGGAGGCGTCATCTATTATCTGACGGCAGTGTTGTCGATTTCAATCACGTGACGACTTCGTGCACTTTCCCTCGAGAAAAGTGGTTGTACGTCGGGTTGAGCCAAAACTTCTGTTTTTACCCGTTTAAGAAAAAATGGGGTGGAAGGTTATTTGGAACTTATTTGTTTAAATCGCTTTTATGTTGTATTTCTTACACGTGTGTGTGTGACAGTGACTGTGTGTGTGCGCGTGTGTGTGTGCTTCAACATAAAATCCAAATCATTTTAGACATCAGGTTGGTCTATTTGCTCCGATTTTTACTCCAGGGTTTGGGGTGACAGACTCGCAACCCAAGAACAGTTATACGTTTATAATTCAGTTCTTCACATAAATTTATCTTCAGATAGATTCCATGTATACCTGCCTACTTGCCACATTTTAAAATAATGTATAAACAACATTGTAATTTGTATATAGTGTTTGGACTGAATACATGCTCATATTTAGTCGTTTAGAGTTCTTTTATTGATCTGATCATTTGGAGAGATCGAAACTAAATACAGTGACATGTTCCTGGAGTGATTTTGTGTTTAAAAATACAATGTCGATGAAAATGCAGATGTATATATCTGGAACATATAATAACAAGGTATCTTAAATGTGGTAGTTACTCGATTCTTATCATCACATCCCTGTGCTGCACTTACATTATGAAGCAAAAACTGTTATACTGTTATAAACTTATATACAAGAACAGAATCACCCAGGGGCCGTAGATACAGCTTTTTGAGAAGGGGGGGTGGGGGTGCACAGTTCATTTTCACCCTTTTTCACGATAGTTTCAATGATCATTTAATAAACTTTTATGACAAATGGGAGGGGGTGCACACCCATGCATGTCACCCTCACCTCACCATCTTCTTCGTCGCCATAGTTGTCATCATTGTCATCATCATCGTCGTCGTCAACATCACCATCATCATCGTTGTCGATCGTCATTTTCATCGTCGTCGTCATCATCATTACCATCACCATCATCTTCGTCATCATAATTGTTGTCATCGTCATCCACATTGTAGTCATCGTCATCAACACCATCGTCGTCGCCAACGTATCAGATGACATTTGACAAGAAATCATCACCAAGTTCATCACCATCGTTTTATCATCTTCGAGATGCTTCTCCGTCATAATCACGCACCATCAGCTGTCATTTATAAGTACATAACATGAAAACATGCTAAAAGTGTACAGACTGTAAGAGCTATTCATCTCCACGCACAAAGCACGGCTCTCTTTAGAAGCCCATTACATAAGACGATGACGTAATAAATTTGCTTCGCGCCACCTGTAACTAGCGGTACCTGCGGATAGTCATGCATAGCCATTGATTTGGGTTAATCACGTGACAACAATACGTGATCCGCCTCCTGTGTCATTGTGGAACGTGTTAGACTTGCCACAGATCTTTTGAAAACCGTTGACAATGAATATGGTTATATACGCATTGTAATTAATTTCAACCGTTTATAAAATGTAAAGTGAGTACAAAAACATCGGTCAAGAATGTAGAACAATGTAAAAGCTGTAGAAACAAATGATTTACGTTTGAAATAAGTGCAAATTCGGAAACAGTTGTAATTGTACGTGAATGAATAGGGTTTTACTTATCAACTTAGGTGTAATGTGACTTTGGCAGTGCAACTTATGTTATGAACTTTAAACTTGTTGATATGCCACATGGTAGTAACGCTTATCACAGAGGTGAAATGAGAAATAAATATCTGTGGATTAAATTTTAATTAAACATGCATTCTTTTTCATTACATTTATTTATCTATTTTATCTGTTTTTTGTTATTTATCTATTTACCATTACCAGTATTATTTTTATCAATGTTGGGGACAGTTTTAGTCTTGTGGCTGTTATCTTGGTTATCGCTTCTTGTATCCATTTACTATACATCCCTTCTTCCCAAACGAAGTGAACTTGATCCTATTGCATGAACTTACTTACTTACATCAGAGACCATATAATATTATATGGTCTCTGCTTACATAACTGGATTGTTTATGACGTAACAATTCGGGAACCTCCCATGCGTACCTAACTTCGTATTGTTTGAATATTGCTTCTAGATGTTTTGATTATACCATTTCGTAGATGACAATTTTAAAAAAATGGCGCAAACCTCCTTAAGTCTATGTTGATACCAGAGTAGCTTCCCTTAGTACCTTCGTGCCAAATGGCAGAGGCCGCTAGGTACGATCACGTGACACATAGTCTTCTGACGTCACTGTAAATAAACCCCAAACATCAACAAAGTGTCGTGACTGGTGAAACGTAGAAGATATAGAAATACTTCTGAGAGCTATTTCCCACATTTGAGCTGTGTTTCTCAACATGGCGTCAACACAGAGGCCAGACCAAAGCGAGGACCTCAATGGTAAGACTTATGATGCTCAATTTCACTGAAAACAGAGACGTGTTGTGAAAATTGGGCCATTCATTGTCTCGTCGCTGACAGCTGGCTAGAAATAGAATTTGTGCCACGCGATTGTTGGCGCATTATTATTATTTTGCCTGTCGCTTTATTTATTATGTTTACTATTCGAGGGATCGTTTATCTAAGTGCACAGGTCATTTAAACGTCAATTACAGCGGTGATTATTTGAATAGGACGACAGCAGCGAACTGTCAAAATTCTAAATCTTAAACCATAATATTGGCGCAGAAAATCAGAAATACGCCTTTCGTGAAGACTGGCATTATATTGACAGTGCTGTGTAGTTATTTTTGTTAATGATTTCATTTAGTACGAATCGAGGCCTGCATATGTTGTGCATATAAATATTTCTGGATTAACTAAGTGATATGATTTCACCTTCCTGTTAATAAATTTATATTCATGGCACAATCAGTGATACTAAGGCAAGTGTGCAATCACTATTTGAGTTACATTTAAACAAATATTGAGGTTATTAACATTAAAAACATCCGAGTGATGTATATTTTGAGTAGTTTACAGGCTAGTTTTTATGATTCTTGAATGTATTGCAACATGGCCAGTGATAGTGCAGCTGTAATATTCTGAATCAAGATCAGAATCTAAGCTTTTATGTGTGCTTTGAAGCATCAGATATTAGTGCTGCTCCCCTATCAACTTGCAATCTGAAATACCTCTACCAGGATGTAAACAGGTTAAAAGTATTGTACATGTGCAGTTAAACCAGTGCTTTAATCTGAAATTAAGTTAATCATGAAATTTGTTGTTTTATAACATTAATAATGTTGATGAAGGAGCAAGGATACACTCTGAAACGTGGTGTTATTTACAATAAAGAAGTTGACATCCATTTTCTTATGCATTCCACTTCTAAATGCCCTCAAAGATTTGATTATTAATGTTAATAATAATTATCCCTGTTATATCCTTCACTAATATAGCATATCTGGTGTATATTGCAAATTAAAGCCAAATCAGATTGTATGCTGTTTTACCGAATTTATTTGCTGACACTTTTCAAACTGCAAAGAATATGATGTTCCTTTTCTCATTCTGTCCAATTTTTCACAGTGGTGGAGTGTGTAGGCAGTTATGATGAATATCAACTGTATGAAAACCAGGTGTATATGTTCCTGTGCTAGTCTGTAATCTGGTTCAGTGAATCAGACTGTACAATGCATTATTGTGTCATGGTCTGGTAATTTGTAGGATTCACAACCGACAAGGTAGATAACCTTGTTGTACTGACGGGAGAAGTTGAGCATCATATCAGCAGCAATATGATATTGATTAAAAAACTGCTTCAATTGCCACTGCAGCAGTGTGTAATGTTCATAGATAATATGTTGTATCATCATGATCAAGCATGTTTCATGCTTTACAAGGGTCTGTAGAATAGATTAGTGGATAAAGCTTGTCATGCTAAAGGTCGATTTGTGATTCCCACATGAGGGCAAAAAGTTTAATAATTAATTTCTGGTGCCCCTCGTAATATTCATAATATCAAGACTCATACTCACTTCTTCATGTTTCATATGATTATGAAACTTTACTGTCTATTTAGATAAATACATGCGCAAGTTGTAATATATTGTTGTTATAAATTTGTTCATGTTCGCAATTTGTCATTTGCATGATGTGCAAGGGTTTCTCAGGTGTTGTTAGCTGTTGATTGTAATTTGACAAATGATTATAGATACAATTAGAATCTACATGGACCTGTTCAGTGGCCATCAACATCATCATCATCATCATCATGGCCCCAAGTCCTAAATTTCCTAAATAAATTTGAATTTAAAAATGTGTTTTAGTAACTTGTATTTTTTCTATAACAAGACCAGTAAGTGGGAGGCAGTGTATTCACAATATTGGAAATAATGTCGTAATCAGCTGATAGTACCTTGAAAGTTAAAAAAAAGGGAATTTATGAAATTCCCATTTTTTCCCCGTTTGCCTTCCCGTGGAACTAACTTTGGATTCCCAAAAATCCATGACAGAACTAGACAGTTTGAAATTCCTTAGAGCATAGAGAACCATATTGACAAGTTTAGTGCCCTTGTTAAATTGTTAAATGATTATAAGAATTAAGTTCAATTATCGCTCAAGCTGTAACCATGACAGTATACCTGATAAAGAGAAACAGCTGACTGATTGCCTTGAGACAGGTGGACAAAGGTCAAACTGACCGAGTGTTACAGTGGTTATTGTCACAATAACAAAGGGGTTTATAACAGCTGCAGATGTAGCTGGGCTTTTTCAGTTGTTAACGTACAGTCATCAGCCACGTTCTCCTGATTTTCGTCACGGAGCACTAGGGGACGCAATGATCATACTGCATAAGTGTGTATGAATATTCATAAACATGGTTCTATACAAGACACTTGTACAGCTTCACATATATGTACAATATGAATGGTTTTTCACATTGTGGTATAGGAATGAGATTAAATGGATATAGCTTTAGTTGTTACGCATACATAGATTTTGTGGTGGCATTAATAGATCTTCTAGAAAAACAACAATTTCTCTTCATTTTTTTAGTTTTGTATTGGACAGTTTTCTTATGTAATTTCTATTTTGAAAAAAAATGTTTTATGATATTTTGAATAACATTCAGTCAAGGTTCTGGACTATTGCTTCAATGTGAATCAATGCAATTGTAATGGACTATTGTACACCAGTCTGTCTCACAGTCCGTGAAATGTATATTTTTCCATCTACCCAACCCTTTCTGCAATGCTAAAGTCTAAATGATTAGGAAGTCTAGATTTCCAAGGTACTGAATCTCCCATCCCAATGGGGCTCATTTTCAATTTAATGGGATTATTTGTTGCTATCAAAATTATATATATTCAGAGACTACATGTTAGTAATACACTTGAAATAGACCACCTCGACAGGATGTGCTCCAAAGTGTAGTTTAGTGTTGCTAAAACGTTTTGTGCTGTTTGTACAGCTGGCATCTTGAGCAGAGTAAAGTGGGAATATTGTCTTGTTTATGGTTGATGTTGTCAATATCATGTCATATATGTATGAATAATAATTGTGTTTGTCAAGTATATATATATAGAAATATCTTAAGCATAAAATGAAACAGTGTTGAATGCTTTTTCTGATACGTTTTATTGATGAAGTTACCCTTTTGGGGTTTTGGTTTTGGGGGAGTGGGGTTGGTATGGGTATATTTTTTTTTTGTATGTGTGTCTAACCCAGTCATTATTATTTGACCCAGATAGTCTTATCCATGCTACCAAAAAGTCTTTCAGTTGACAAGTTGCTTATATTCATTGATAGTCAGTAGGTAAGCATTATCTCTTCACTGTGTTTTTTTGACAATGACTAGGTAATCACTGTAGATAACTGCCAAGCTTTCACTCACATGCATACATTTCTTACACATTACTATTTTCCTTGCTGATTTCATTTGGCACACAGTTAGACTAACATCCAGTCTCTGAATATATCTCATTTTGAAAGAAACATACAAATCCTATTAAACTGAATTTTAAAAAAACTAGTGATGCCAAAGACCCGGGTTCTATTCCCCATATGGGTACATTGTGTGAAGCCCATTTCTGGGGTTCCCAGCTGTGATATTACTGGTGATGATGATTTTTATGGAGAAGCATGTACAATGTGAATGACCCCCCCCACACACACACACTCCCCTATTGCTAAAGTAGGTGTAAAACCTCACTCACTCACTCGCTCACTGAAAAGGAGCCCCAGTGAGATAGCCATAGCAAAACCACTCATTCACTCACTCACTCACTGAAAAGGAGCCCCAGTGAGATGGCCATGGGAGATTCAAAACCATGGGAAATCTAGACTTGCTTCATTTAGGGCTTTAGCATTGCAGAAAGGGCTGAGTGGGAAGGAAAATAATACGATTCAGGGACTGTGAGACAGACTGTTGCACAGAAACAGAGCACACACGTCACAGGGCTGAGTAGGTGAGGGTGTGTCAAGTATGCTTGTGGAATAAGTTCCATAGCAGGACGATGATTAGGTTCCAACAGTGGAAGGGAGAGATTGTAGGTTCATGTGCCACATTTTTAGACATCAGAATAAACAATAGGAACACCTGGCTGGCAGACACATAAATTGTTGAAATTTATAACAGTTATTTTTAGATCAGCTGGGGTGTATTTTTAGAATGCAAGTAGTTGTTTTTTGTGAACACTGAAATGTGTGGTTACTTGAGCCGTTTTTGTAGTAATACACCCTCTGGAATAATATAAATGATTATTAAACTATTTATTTTTATAAAATGTACTGTTTATGTATATGTTTTAGCATGATTATTTCAGCAACATACATGTATATTAAATATGGGGATTGTATCAAAATGATAAACATTTTTCTACATTTTAGTATTTTAGGTTGTCACATTCCTTTTATAAAGCTGTGTCGTGTAGGTCATCACAGGAAAACATCAACCTGTCTTCTTTTGCATGTATGTAAGAATTTACCCTTGGCTTCTTGGCAATGGATGAGTCAAGATATAATTAGTATCCAGTGGAATATTTTGAGAATTTGCATTGTCATTCTGACTACCAAAGAATGTAAGAGTTATATTCATGACCTCTTCACTTTCTGGGAATAGTCTGTTACTTGTATATCATGTAATATATCAAGGTACTTTACTTCTTGTTTAGACATAGGGATCAGCTGGATATTTAAGAAATATATTTTTGAATCTCATTTATATATTTGTCTTGACTGATGAATCCATTAACTTAAATATTGAGCATTACTGCCTTATTTAGTATCAAATCTGTTAATGAGATTCAGTTGCAAATCGGGCGTGGGGTAGCCTTGTGGTTAAAGCGTTGGCTCGGCACGCCGAAGACCCAGGTTCGAATCCCCACATGGGTACAATGTGTGAAGCCCATTTCTGGTGTCCCCTGCCGTGATGTTGCTGGAATATTGCTAAAAGC